GTACTTGTTCCTTGCGCTGTGGTTCGGCATGCACGCGTTCGTCTCCTCGCAGGCGTACAAGGCGCCACGGTGCTGCTTTTGCTTTGGCTTTCCAGATGAAGGCCCACTGGTAGGAAAAGTTACATGAGTAAGAATAACATGATAAATCATACGGCGACGAACAAGTATGCATTCAGTTGCGTTGCCGTGCGTAACCGCCATCGCTCTCGGGAGGGCCCCTGGGGGAGGATGAGAGGGGCTGGGGTGTCAGAGGGGGGGAGCAGCCGATAAAGGCTTTCACCTGCCAGATGGGCCCTTCACCAGCCAGATGGGACCTTCCACTGGCTGGCCTTCTGGGCCTCTGAAGACTCCCTGCGTTCTCCAAGGGAGCACGTTCCTGTTCATCTTGGCCGTGCGGGGGCGATCGTGGGGCTATCTCGGGGGTCCAGAGGGCCGCGCTCAGGAGAGAAACCATCTCTGACCTGACCTTGCCGGCTAGTCGCGGGGTACCTGCCAGGGGCTCTCTTAGGCGCACGTAGGCACCCACTCGTGCGAGCTAGCAAATACAAATACGACTCTGAACCTCTTGCCGGGAATTCTTGCACGCCTTTGGCACGTTTGGCCGGCGAATCCTAGAAGGCCCTGCCGCAGGCGATGCCATTCCAAAGGGTTCGGGGTTTCTTTGGGTGCCCCTTGGAAGCTTCTTGGAGGCATCTTAGGGGCTCTCGGGGGTCTCCTGGGAGCCTCTTGGTCAGCGAGACGCAAGCGTGACCTTTCGCCGGAGTGACCTCTGGTGCGGGCCCAAGGCGGTTCCCCATCGCTGAGCGCGAAGCGGTAATGCACAGCTTGCGTGCCTGGGTCTGGCTACCCTGCGTCCCCCGTTGAGCTGCGCACCAGAAAGGTCACTCTTGGCTAGGGTCACTGTTGCGTGCAGCCGGCAGTATCTTTCAACCGACCCCCATCCCCATCCTCATCCCCTTCGAGACCCCCACCAAATGACCACCCCAGTTGGGGATACACCCCGCGAAAGTCGAAGGGAACGGCCTATATCCCCATCTAGGGGGTAAATCGGCCAGTGGGGCCCAGCCCACGCTGGTGGGGGGATCGGATAGACGATGCTCGTAGGGTCATTCTTGCGTGCATCCGTCTTGGGTCCTTCTTGGGTTTCTTGTTGTCGCTCACGTCGCACACGTGCAGCACAGGTGTCGGCGGTTCGCGCGTGCCAGACGGGGAGCTGCAGGCAACCTTGGGAGACCTCGGAGATCATCGGGAGGGGGAGGGTTTCTCCGAAGGGCTTAGGCGACCAGTCCTCCTCCTCCTCCTCCTCCTCCTCCCCCTCTCTCCCTCCCTCCTCCTCCTCCTCCTCTTCCTCCTCCTCCTCCTCCTCCTCCTCCTCCTCCTCCTCCCGCTCCTCCTCCCCCTCCTCGCCCTCCCCCCCTCGTGTTGCCTACGGCCTTGGGGGAAACCGTCCAGGGAGGATGTCATGCCGGCCTTCCCGCCATTGATCGCTGCCGTCTCGGCGCATATAGCTGCCCCGAGATAAAAAGATTCAGGCGATCGCAAACATGAAGTAAGGGGGCGTGGATTCGTGACGCGTCCCGTTTCCATTTGAAATCGCGGATTTCCGCCGCCGAGCGAGGCGGCACCGGCCGCATTTTGGGGAGGGGACCTCCCCCGATCCATGGATTTGGCGACCGCGCGCCAAATCCATGGATCGCTAACCCATGTTTGCGCGCCACCGATACAGTTGTCCCGAGATATAAGATGGGGTTCGGCTCGGGAGGGTAAGCTACTGTTCTTCGTGCTTGTTGGATGTTCTTGTGCATCCTGGGGGAGGGTACCCTCGAGTGATCTTATGGTTTGGGGTGTTCTGGTCTGCGGAGGGTCTCATGTTCTTGAAGGATGTTCTTCTGTCTTAGGTCTGGTCGTATGTCCTGGACGTGGATCACGTCATCAGCCTGGTAGCACTCCGTGTCGCACCTAATGACCTGGGCGCATTCCACCCGTTCAGACAGCCCTCCCTTCTTCCATCTCGCCTTAACTTTCCTGTTTTTTCCTTCATTTCGCTCCTCGTATTCTTCCACTTCTCTTTCACACTCGTCCCCCTTAAATCTTCGTATTGTTTCGCCTCCCTTTGATTCGCCAGGTGCGGATCCTGACGCAGCTGGTTCGCTTGCCCGTGCCAACGTCAGCCTGGCCTGCTTAAGCGCGCCTCTTTTTGGTCAAGTCAAAGCTGGGATTCTTGGGGCCTCTGGGAGTGTGCGCTGCACCCAATGTGGTCCCACACCCTCGGCGTCACGAACGGAGGGGGTATAACTTTTCACTTATGAAGCATACTTCTAGACGCTTCGCGTATCCCCACCAGCCCATTCAGAAACGATGTCAAGGCGAGTTGAGGTGATCAGGGAAGTGCGGGAGCAACGAGGTGGACGACCGAACCGTGCGAAGGAGCAAAGAGGAGAAGGAGGAGGCTGGATGGATGGATGAGGGAGTGGGGAGAAGGAAGGTGAATATGATTATGATGATGATGCTGATGATGATGCTGCTGCTGCTGATGATGATGATGATGATGATGATGATGATGCTGATGATGATGATGATGATGATGATGATGATGATGCTGATGATGATGATGATGATGATGATGATGATGATGATGATGATGATGATGATGATGATGATGATGAAGATGATGATGATGATGATGATGATGATGATGATGATGATGATGATGATGATGATGATGATGATGATGATGATGAGGAGGAGGAGGAGGAGGAGGAGGAGGAGGAGGAGGAAGAGAAGGAGTATGAGGAGGAAGGAGGAGCAGGAGGAGGAGGAGGGCAAGCAAAAGGGCTAGAGGTCTCTTGGATGCCGTCTCGGAGCCTCTTTGGATATCTATTGGGCGCCCGTCTGGGCGCCTCTTGGGGCCCTCTTGGGGCGCTCTTGGGAGCTTTGGGGGCGCTCTTGGGGCCATCTTGGAGGAGATCGATCAAAGAAGGGGGGGTCCTTAATTAGCCTCCCCCCTCGGGAGCCCCTAACATCGCCTCCTGGATCCCTCTAGGAACGCTCTCATAGCGCTCTTGGGGCCGTCTCGGGGCCGTCTTGGGGCTTGCTTGGGTCTCTCTTAGGGCCCTCATTGGCCCTCTTGGAGCTGCCTTGAGGCCTCGGAAGGCCATCGGAAGCGAAAAAGGCGAGAAGGCCACATTCATTGATGTCCCGTAGTTTTTTGCATGATTTTGGCATCTTGGCGGCCTCCCTGGGGGCCTCCGTGGCTACTTGGAGCTGTCTACGGGCCGGTCTCGGGGCCCCTCGGAGCGTGTTGGGACCCATCTTGAAGCATTTTGCGCAGTCTCGAGCCATCTTGGAGGTCATCTTGAGTCCCTCTTGGAGCCATCTTGGGCCATCTTGGACGCTCCAACGCCTCGCGACCGCACCCCCCCAGGTCCAGGGGAGGGGGTAACGGGGAGGGGTCAAGACCCCCTCCCCGCCCGCAAGCCGTCTCGCTCACTCCCACCCGCCCTCCCAGCACATACATAGCACCCGAGTCTGGCCCGAGCCTCAGCGTATTCAGCAGTCGTCTTTGGATGGGCAGCTACTGGGGGCCAATCCGCCGCCGCCGCCGCCGCCGCCTCCGCCGCCGCCGCCGCCGCCCGCCGCCGCCGCCGCCGCCGCCGCCGGCGCCCCCCGCTGCCAAACCGCCGCCGCCGCCGCAGCCGCTGCCGCCACCACCACCACCGCCACCGCCGCCGCCGCCCCCGCCGCCGCCGCCGCCGCCGCAGCCGCCGCAGCCGCCGCCACCGCCGCCGCAGCCGCCGCAGCCGTCGCCGCCTCCAAGTGTACTCTGTATTGTTTTTTGACAGGGATGGTGGGGGGGGACCGCATCGGGTTGGCTGCGCATGTTCCGAATTTGGAGGCAGAGTGTGTTTTGTATTGTTTTTTACAAGGGATGGTGGGGGGGGGTCGTCATGGTCCCTGGTTGGCCCCCAGTCGCCTGGGGGAGGGGGTGTTTATTAATAGGGAACAGTGATAAACCCCTCCCCGAAGGGGAAAGGGAGGGGTGGAAGAGGAAACGCTCTAAACCACCTACGCCCAGAGGACTGATGGGATTTTCGTTGATCCCCTCTAGTGACTCTTGTGTCTTTGAAGTGAAGTGCGCTCCTCCACGCTCGCACCATGCTTTTCGTCAGGCCTCTTGGCTACAAAACAACGTCTCCCGCCTGAGACGAACCACAACGTATTCGTAACGTTTCGCGTGTCCCCTCCAGCTCATCCGTCAACGATGCCCAGGATTCTTGAAGCCATTTGTTGTTTGGATTTATTTGGTACCCTCTTTGGGCAGAGAGAAGGGGGAGGACGAGGAGGAGGACAAGGAGGACGAGGACAAGGACGAGGACGAGGAGGAGGACGAGGACGAGGAGGATGCGGACCAGTGAGGAGGACGACGACCACAGCAATGATGAGGATGAGGACGAGGACGATGAGGAGGAGCACGAGTAGGAGTAGGAGTAAGTGTAGCAGGAGGAGGAGGAGGAGGACGATGAGGGAGACAATGAGGAGGAGGAGGAGGAGGAGGAGGAGGAGGAGGAGGAGGAGCAGGACCAGTACAAACCCAAGACGCATCAACGATGCTGCAATATACCCTCCCTCCAAGGTCCCTCTTCAGAGGTCCGTTCACTGCGGGAAGTGCCACATAAGATGACTACCGCCTGAGAACCTTCAATCGTGCCGTCATATCTTCTCTGGGAGTTCAACGCCGCGAAGCATCGTGACTGTTGCGTCATGACAGCCCCCAGTTGTGCCAGAATACCATTCCTGGGACTTCACAACACAGCGATTCAAGGTGACAGTTGCGTCCTGCCAACCCTAAATCGTACTAGAACGCCACTCCTGGGGCGTCAACCATACGAATCCTTGAGTCTGTTGCAAGCTTTTCAGACGAATGTGCGCCGCGCTAAGGCGGGAGCCACATTTTGAAAACTGGCCGCCCTCAATCCTTGAAGCTGTTGTACGCTTTTCAGACGAATGTGAGCATCGCGAAGGCGAATGCCTCGGTTTGAAAACGGGCCGCACTCAATCCTTGAATGTTAAAAGATAATATGCGTGGCGCTAAGGCGGCGAGAGCCACATTTACATAACCAGTCCGCCCCCTCGACACTGTCGGACGCATGCTCGCGGCGCTTGAGCGAGAGCCGCATTTTGAAAGCCGGCTGCCCTCCATCCTTGAAACTGTTGCAGTCCTGTAGGACGAATGTTCGCCGCGCCAAGGCGAGACCCGTATTGCTAAGGCCTTACGGCTGGTGCCGCCGACCCTGAAGGGGGACGACGACGATGACGGCGGCGGCGGCGACGACGACGACGCTGACGTGGGTCAGAGTCTTCATGGATGCTCTTGGGGGTCTTTGCGGAGCGCTCTCGGGGTCTTCTGGGGGACAGTTGGGGGATCTTGGGAGCAGCTTGGGGGCCTCTTGGGAGCCTCTTGGGGGCCTTCGGGGGCTTCCTGGCGGCATCTTGGGGGCATCTTGGGGCCTCTTGGGGGTCTCTTGGGAACGTCTTGGGGTTCTTGGGAGTTTCTCGGGGCCGAGGGCTCGAAATGTCCGTTGGGGTCCCCCGTCTGGGCACCTTCTTGGAGCCGTCTTGGTGGCCTTACCGGCCATCTTGGAGGCCTCTTGGGCTGTCTTGGGGCTCTCTTGGGGAGTTGAAGGTCTCTTTTGGAAGCCTCTTGGGCTGTCTCCTAGCGTCGGGAAGCCGAAAAGGTGAGAACGCCAAAATCTTTCAAAAACTGAGGGAAATCAATACATTTTCCCTTTTCGGGCTCTTTGGGAATACTTTTGGAGGCTCTTAGGGGGACTCGGAGGCCTCTTGGGCCGTGTGGAGGCTATCTTTGACGTCTTGAACCGATCGTTCGGCGATTCGGGGGCTCTTGGGCCACTCCTGACTCGTCTTGAGGCCTATGTGGGTCCCGACCCCCCCCGAGGAGGATGGAATTCTGACCCGGGACCCCCCCTGGGACCCCCTCCCCGGGATCCTCCCCGGGAGCCCCCCCTTCCGTCGGGGAAGGGATCAAAGGGAAGAGGCCATTTCTTTATTGCTTGGGGCATGACGGGCGTCATGGCCCAAGCAATAACGTAACGCCCCCCCTATGACGTAACGCTCCCCCCCCAGTGCGCTCCGGGCACTGCCGCCGTGCGCATTGGGATCCGCGTAGGTGTCCGCGTAGGAATCCGCATAGGTGTTTGGTCCGCAGGCGTCGTCGTCGTCGTCGTCGTCGTCGTCGTCGTCGTTCGTCGTCGTCGCTCGTGGTTCGTCGCTCGTCGCTCGTCGTCGTCGTGCGCGCGGACGCGGCTGGAGCCTGTTTTTAAGTCCAGGCCGATGACGGCAATCACCTGGGGGGGGAGGGGGTCGATGACGTCACGTTTTGCGCCGGCGGCGTTTGGGAATGGCTAGGAATGACGGAGGACGGGTAGCACGAACATGTAGGTGGCGATATACGACACAACGCCTGTGTACATCACAGTGCCCGCGTGCACCACAGCGCCTGTGTACACAACACCGCCGATGTACAACACAGCAGCCGCGTGCAACACAGCGTCAGTTTGTGCCACCGTGCCTGCGGGCACAGCAGCTCCTGTGTACACCACGGCGCCTCCGTACACCACATCAGCCGTGCGCAACACAGCACCAGTGTACACCACAATGCCTGCGTGCATTGCAGTGCCTGTGTACGCCACGGCGCCTGTGTGCACCACATCAGCCGTGTGCAACACAGCACCATTGTTGTGTATAGACTTTCAGAAGGCATCTTTGTGACGAAACGGAGCGCGTGTGGATTCCAGAGAAAACAATGGAACAAATCCTCATGGACAAAGGAGCGCCGCTGGAATCTACGAGTCCCCCCGAGTCCGCCCGCATCACCCTAACTCCCATTTGCGTCCAGGAGGCTCCAGCTAAACTGGCGTCCGAGAACCAAGTGGACCGATTCAATCGACCATTCTGCGGTGCACGCTGAGATGCGCACGAGCGTTGTAACGCCAAGCCGCACGACAGGGGGTAAGAAGGAGGAAAAGGAGGACGCGGAGGAGGAGGAGGAGGAGGAGGAGGAGGAGGTGGAGGAGAAGGAGGGAAGAGGGAAAATCGTCGCATTCGATAATCAGAACTTTCTTGGCGTGGCGTTTAGTTGTCCGGCATCAGATCCTGACGTACATGCTCCTTCTACCTGTCTTATGCACGCAGGCACTGTGGTGTACACCAGCGCTGCGTTGCACGCAGATGCTGTGGTGTAGACAGGCGCCGCGGCGTGCACAGGCGCTGCGGTGCACGCAAGCATTGTGGTGTACACAGGCGTTGTGTTGCACATGGCTGCTGCGGTGTATGTGCACCGGCGCTGTAGTGCTCCCAAGTATTGTGGTATACACGGGCGGTGCGTTGCACACGGCTGTTGCGGTGTACGCAGGCGCTGTGGTGCACACGCGCGGTGTGGTGCACGCGAGCGTTGTGGTGTACACAAGCGCAATGGGCAGATCGCCACTTACATGCTGCTCGCGTCGTCGTCGTTGTCGCTCGTCGCTCGTCGCTCGTCGCTCGTCGCTCGTCGCGTCGTGCGCGCGGGCGCGGCTGTGGTGCCAGAGCCACACGGCGGGGGGGGGCGTCACGTCATACCCCCCCTTGCCCCCCCCCCCCCCATGACGCTCGTCATCGCCGAACACAAAGAAACGCCTTCGAAGGCGCTTCCCTTCGACTCAATTACGACGTTGCTCAATTTGAGGTGGGAGACGGCGACGGCCGTTTAAAAAAACGAAGGACACGGCGACGGCGACGGCGACGACGATGGGAAGCGGAGCAGCAAGAGCGCAACAACCATGAGGAACAGCACCGGGGTGGGATAGTGAGGGGGGCAACCAGCGCGACAAACAGCGCATTCCACACGCCGACAGGGTCGGCGGATTTTGAAAACGGGGCACTCTCCGTCCACGAAGCTGAAGCTGCTGCAAAAACGGTTCAGAATCATGCGCGCGGCGTGGAGGCGGGAGCCACACTTTGAGAACTGGCCGCCCTCCATGCGTGCAGCTCCTGCACAGTTGTCAGATGAATGTGCGCGGCGTGGAGGCACGATCCACACTTGGGCAACCAACCGCCCTCCTTGATACTGTTTTGCAAGTTCGGGCGAAGCGCCCCGCCTGCCCTACCGACACGCTTCGAAGGTGCAGCAGGGAGGATTTAGAGGTAAGGAAAAGACACGTAGGAGGAGGAGGAGGAGGACGATGACGACGAAGACGAGGACACTGCGCGCCGCACCCCTCATCCTTGGGCTGCTGGTGCGCTTCCGACTGACGTGTGAGGAAGTGAGGCAAAGCGCGCTAAGCCTTATCCTCATCGCAGCTGCAGGCAGGGTGGCAGGGCGGGGTGCGCAGGGTGACAGGCAGAGACAAAGGAGTGCTCTTTGTCCCTCCTCGTATAGATTTCGGGCAGCTCGATCCGATACTGCCCGATGCTTGCATGGCGCCGTGGTGCAGATGCGGCGGCCGTGCGGATGCGGCCCGATCCGACGCACATTCCGATTCGACCCGACTCTCTGATTCGATGCTGCCTTCTCCCCTCACCGTTCGAAGTCCCGTGCCCCCCTTTGCGAGTTACGCGGCCAGGTGGCGTTCGCTGGAGGCGGCGCGCACGTACAGCTCCGCGTTCGAGAAGCTGCCGAAGGGCCAGATGCTGCGCGTTCCCTTCGCCCGGGGCCCAAAGGGGGACTCCTGGGATTTAGGGTCGAGGGTGAGGGCGGGGGGCTTAGCCGAACATGGGGTCAGGGAGCGAGAAGAGCTTGAGGCTGTTTTTTCCCTCCAGAGAGGTGGATGATGATGATGCTGATGATGATGATGCTGATGATGATGATGATGAGGATGCTGATGATGATGATGAGGATGATGATGATGCTGATGATGATGAGGATGATGATGATGATGGTGATGATGAGGATGATGATGATGATGCTGATGCTGATGCTGATGATGATGATGATGGCGATGATGATGGTGATGATGATGGTGGTGGTGGTGGTGCTGATGATGATGCTGATGATGATGCTGATGATGATGATGATGATGCTGTTGATGAGGATGATGATGCTGCTGATGATGATGATACTGATGATGCTGATGATGATGATGATGCTGATGCTGATGATGTTGATGATGATGCTGATGAGGATGATGATGCTGATGATGATGATGCTGATGATGCTGATGATGATGAGGATGATGATGATGGTGATGATGAGGATGATGATGATGATGAGGATGATGATGATGATGATGATGATGCTGATGCTGATGCTGATGATGGTGATGATGATGATGATGGTGATGATGATGGTGATGATGAGGATGATGAGGATGATGATGATGATGAGGATGATGATGCTGCTGATGATGAGAGTTAATGGTAATGATAATGATAATGATAATGATAATGATGATGATGATGATGATGATGATGATGATGATGATGATGATGATGATGATGATGATGATGATGATGAAGGGAGTTCAGAGCTGAGTGATTCGGTGGGCGGTCCTCCGAAGCGGGGCACCCCCCTGGCTGCGCGCCGAAATGAGTGGGCCGCTCTGCATGGAGGCAGCGCGGGTCTGGCACCCGAGTGGCCAGGCCTCGTTTTTTTTTTTTTTTTTTTTTTTTTTTTTTTTTTTTTCAACAAAAAAAATCCGTTTGCTCGAAAAAGCGGTGCTCCGAGTCTCCCCTCGATGATGATGATGATGATGATGATGATGATGATGATGATGATGATGATGGTGATGATGATGATGATGATGATGATGACGATGATGATGATGATGATGAGGATGATGATGATGGTGAGGATGATGATGATGCTGATGATGATGATGAGGATGATGATGATGCTGCTGATGATGAGGATGATGATGATGAGGATGATAATAATAATCATGCTGATGATGATGCTGATGGTGGTGGTGGTGGTGTCGGTGATTATGATGATGATGTTGATGATGATGAGGATGATGATGATGCTGATGATGATGATGAGGATGATGATGATGCTGATGATGATGAGGATGCTGATGATGCTGATGATGATGATGATGAGGATGAGGATGATGACGATGCTGATGAGGATGATGATGATGATGATGCTGATGCTGATGCTGCTGATGATGAGGATGATGATGATGGTGATGATGATGACGATGATGATGATGATGATGCTGGTGGTGGTGGTGGTGGTGATGATGATGCTGATGTTGATGAGGATGCTGATGCTGATGCTGATGAGGATGGTGATGATGATGATGATGATGGTGATGGTGATGGTGATGGTGATGATGATGGTGGTGGTGGTGGTGGTGATGATGATGATGATGGTGGTGGTGGTGGTGGTGAGATGGTGATGATGATGATGGTGATGATGATGATGGTGATGATGAGGATGAGGATGAGGATGAGGATTAGGAGGAGGATAATGATGATGATGATGATGATGATGATTATGATGATGATGATGATGATGATGATGATGATGATGATGATGATGAGGATGATGAGACGACGAGGAGGAGGAGGAGGAGGAGGAGGAGGAGGAGGAGGAGGAGGAGGATGAGGAGGAGAAGGAGGAGGAGGAGGAGGAGGAGGAGGAGGAGGAGGAGGAGGAGGACGGGGCAATGTCCAGGTTTTTGGTGGTAACCCATCGGCGGCCGAATCGGGGGCAGGGAGCAACCTTCGTCTTTGGGCCAGCGGTGGTAACCCATCGTCGGCCGAACCGGGTCCAGGGGGGACTCTTGCGTCCAGGCCGGGGGTGGTGACCCATCCTCTGCGCAAGGGGGAACCCTTGTTTTTGGGCCGCCCGTGGTAACCCATCGCCGGTCGAATCGGGCGCAAGGGCGAGCCCTTGCGCCCAGGCCGGGGGTGGTAACCACTCCCCGGCTGAATTCTTTGTATTTTATCATTATGTATCGTTTTGCAACGCTTCGACCCGCTGTCATTGTGAATGAGGGGCCGCTCGCACATTTTTTTTCTCGCATTTTCTTTTCCGGGCGTTCCATGGGAATCCTGGGTATCTTGTCAGAAAGTGTGCATCGACACGGGCGTGTTTTATTCCTTCTCGCGTTTGCATGTGTTTCTTTGATGTATGTTTGTTTGACTGTCATAATTGACCCTGGGGCATCATTTTGGATCCTGGTGGCGCCTCCTTGGGTGGGAAGGAACGGGTCCTGGCACCGTTAACGTCTCATGCCGTGCATCCTTACAGCGCTTTCGTGTGTTTCGCGGGCCGATGTCAGTGCGGAGCGAATTAGGGCTCTGGGGGGCCATGTTTTGGCTTGAAGAGGCAGGGGCCGCCGTCGTCGTCGTCGTCGTCGTCGTCGTCGTCGTCGTCGTCGTCGGCGTCGTCGGCGTCGTCGTCTTTGTCGTCGTCACTCCTCCGGGGGGCTCGATTCACTGGGGGGCTCGACTTCCTTGTTTTCATTCCGTGTACTCGAATGGGCCCAGCTGTTGAGTCGAGGATCTATCTCCCTCTTGACTTCCCCGTGGGCTCTGTATCCGTTTTCTGTCAAGTACGGCGTTGACAGTCGTGAAGACGCTTGAAGCATGGTATCTTTTTAATTCGACTGTGAGTTTCGCTTGTGGAAAGTTCCGCGCAGGGGCTTCGGAAAGATGGTACGGCGGGAGCTCGTTGGCGCTTTGCTCACGGACGACGTCAACTTAACTTTTGCCCATGGGCAACACCGCATTCCAGCTTTGCTCTGGGGTTGATCTGCGCGCCTTAGCGACCTGCGGTAAAAAACGATAATTGCCAACAGTCTATCCTGGCGCTGGACGCGGGGTCGATACGTTTAAGTTGCCGCGGGGCGCGACACACCAGTGCTTTTGAGGAACGACGGCGTGGCATTCGCCTGCGGCGACAACCTGTGGGGTCTTTCTGACTTCCCAGCACTGGGGCCAGGGGCGAACTACGTACAAATTGCCGGTGTATGCAGCCATATTGCGCTGCTCAGGAGCGACGGCGCTGCAGTGGCCAGCGGCGACAATGTATACCATCAGTGAGACCGTCCAGCTCTGGGACCAGGCTGTCGCTATGTGCAATTTGCTGTTGGAGGCGTTTGTCCCGTGCTGTTCAGGAGCGACGGGATCGCCGTTGGCTGCGGCGGAAACAGCGGCTTCAATCAGCGTGCCCCTTTTGTGTCGGGCCTGGGATTGAGCTACGCGCAAGCATGCGCTGGAAATTGTCTGGCTAGGCTGCTCAGGAGTGTGGGCGCCGCCGTTTCCTCAGGTCAGTGGGGCTCGTATGTGCGGTGGGAGTTGAGCGCCCATCCCGAGCGCGTGCCTGGCGCAGGGTGCCACTAAGCGCACGTTGCATTTGGGTGCAACCGTGGAATCCTGCGCAAGAGCGACGGCGCGGTCGAGTCCCGGAGTCCCGTGGTTGGGATTTGCCCAGGGAACGCAACAGATGGCGTTGGGCGCGTGGCCGCGCTTCGTGGCTGACTTGAATCCATATTGCTCCTGCAAGCGTCCCTCGACGGCGTCGCGTCCGGCGGAGTTGGGCGCCGCAGAATCCAAGCGCAGTCCGATGCGTCGCTCGGATATTTGCGCCCAGATCATGGCGGAGCACCGCGCGGGCGGGCTGAGACTGGGGGCGTGGCGACTTGATGCAATCTTGCCTGGGTGCCCGCGGCTAAGCGATTACGTGGCCCGCGGAACGATGGCCAGCGCGTTCGGGTTCCGACGGAGGCGCCTGCGTTGCACGTGCCAGCGCCGAGATTGTTGGGCCTGAGCTGAGCGCGGGTAGTCGAAGCCGCGGCGTAAGTCGCGGCGCGAGAAGCCGATTTTCCAGGTTGTTCAGTCTGCCGCCCTGAGCCTAGTCTGGTTTGTCTATCCCGTGCGGCGCGCAGCTAGAGGCCCGCGGGTTTGTCTGGCGGCTTGGTCTCCCGCGCCAGCTGCCCGCGAGTTTTTGCCCCGGCGGCTGTGGCCGCGGGTTTGTCCCGTTGGCTTGACCCGCGGGGCTGTGGGCCTCATTTGCCCGAGGATTTTCCCGTGGGAGGGGGGGGGGGCGGCCCCGTCTCCTGCCGCGCAACCCGTGACCGAACCTCGTTCGGCCCGCTTCTTTTCTCACTATTGTTCCAGGCCCTGATCGACGCTTTGTTCTGGGTGCTCGTTTGCCGTTAAGGAGATGGAATAGAGGTGTCAACAATCTTGGGTGTGCAAATCTTGTACCAACCATTTTGGGGTGCCTCTCTGGAACTTCGCGTCGAGCATGCATTGTCGAGGATGTCGCCTCCATGCAGGATCGTGTTTCCCTCGGAGTCGTGAGGTCGACCGTGCTCCCTCGGTCTCGCTCGTTCCTCGAGGTAAAAGAAAGCCACCGTGGGCTGAGGGCCCTGGGGGCCCCAAGTCGAAACCTGAGCTCAAGAGGGTCCGCCCTGGAAGCGCAGCTCGAGGCTAACAAGGCTGGGGCTGCGCAGAATGGGGCGGCCATGGTGGTTGATGATGGCGCTGATGGTGGGCTGGGGGGCGCTGCTGACGAAGCAGAACGTGCCGAGGCACGCCTGGCCGTCGTCTCCCAAGAGTGGGTTTTGCTTGGAAAAGCCTGGGCATACATCTTCCCCAGACTACGTCCGGTCGTGCATTCGAGCCGCTCGCAAAGAAGCATGGCGACTCCAGAAGGCCCTGCAGGAAAGTGAGCCGCCAGCGGTGCAGATGCA